GGCGGTACTTCATATCATATATCCTGTGTTAATTGTACTTTAACTAACTGTATTTCCCCTGATCAGAGGCTTAAGGCACAGGTCATATTAATAGTCCGTAGACCACCTTTTGTTATGTTGCCGGTACATTTGCCCAATATGCCTTGGTATGACAATTCTGCTATGCATGTTCTTAGGGAATTGACAGCCTTGATTCGTCCCAAACGATTTATCGCTGCCCTGATTTTAGGCATTACAGCTTTAATATCTATTATTACCACCTTTGCAGTAGCCACTACGGCATTAGTGCAGGAGACTCATACTGCTCATTTTGTAAATGAATTAAATAAGAATGTTACATTTGCCCTGTCAGAACAAGTAATGATAGATAAGAAGTTGGAAGCCAAAATAAATGAATTAGAGGAAGTAGTGTTAGCCCTAGGCCAAGATGTTGACAACTTTCAAGTTTCAGAGAGTCATGCAGACCCGATGCCATGAGCAATTAAAAGCTATTTGTGTTACCCCTCTCCGTTATAACACCTCTTCGGACTGGGACAAGGTTAGACATCACCTTATGGGCGTCTGGCAGGATCAATCCATCACACATGATTTAGAAGGCATCCAGAAAGACATTGCAGCCATGAGTCAGGCCTATGATAAGACATCAGAATTGAGTGATCTCGCTACCAGTCTGACTGCCGGAATTAAGGCCTTGAATCCGTTAGATTGGGTTCAATACATCCTTGTTTTGGCCTTGTTGGCTGCTATTATTGCAGTCATCTTGTTTATACTTCCCTGTTGTTTCCGCAGCATGGCGCATTCGCTCCAATGAGTCAAAGAGGACCTGTATGCTATGCGTCTTAAAAACAAAAAGGGAGGAGTTGCCACGCCGTCAACGGTGTCGCCCGCGTAGCAACATGTTACGGGGGAACCTGGGCAGGCCTCAGGTTCCTGGGAATGGGAGGTTCGCGGCCCATGGGTCTATGCCTCCGGCAGCCCCCTTTGTTTGCCTGGGCCTAGCAAGCGCCCATGACGCTTCTGGTATGCAGTTCTCTAGCCTCCCAAATGGAGCTTTTAATATTTGCCTGCCAGTCTTACTGATGTAGGCAGGTAGATAGGGAAAGGCTCTCTGCAATGAAACAAAAGTCTCATAGAAGAAGAATTCTAGGACCGACCCACCCTATGGACACAGAGAATAAAGACTTGATAAGACCATCCCCAGACCCTGAAGATATAGGCCTCCTCCCCATGAAATTCCTCCTTTCCGAGAACCCCCTTTCAATCCGGTTGACTCCAGCGACCCAGCCCCAAGGAGATTCCAGAACATTCCGAGTCAGAAGGATCTATAAGAACCAGCTCGAGAGCCCACTTGGCGCTCTCTCCAGCCTCGGAGAAGCCCGCGTTCCCTCTGGACGCGTTAGTCTCTCTCTCTTACATTCCATTCCCCCGCTTATCTGCTTATCCCTTTCTCTCCCTCTCCAAAAGCCTCCAAATAAAACCTGTTACTTCACTGCTCGTCTACTCCTGAAATTCTTTTCTGCGAGCGAGACAAGAACCCCAGAAACCTCGGGTAAGGCTTGGGACTGGTCTCTCCTTTCCTGCAAAGAGCGAATTCTCGTCCCAGCTTGAGTCTGTGGCTCCCCGAGCAATCCCGTGCTGAGAAGATCAAGCGGACTTCAGGTGTGGCTTGACGGCCACCTTGTGGGGCTGGCGGGGCTTAGGCCCGTGCCGAGCAGGTGCTCACTGCAGACTTTACCGGTCCTAGCCTACCCAGGGTCTCGAGAGACAGAGGCGGGTGGGGAGAAAGTGACTGTCTTTCTCCTCCCCACTTCACATAAGTCACCCATGGGGCCCACCGACATCATTACTTTTAGTACTAGGCACCCCGCCCCCACTTCCTGCCCTGCTTTCCTACCTCCTCACACACCTCCTCCCCCCCCCCCCCCCACCTGCAATAAGCACTGTGAGCTCAGGTTTCCTCTGTCATTTAATCTCCAATGATAAGCAACAGAAGCCAGACTTGCAGAAAATAGTAGAGAATCTTGATTCTTTTCTTTTTGGGGGGGGGTTGGGGCTTTGTAATGAAAGAATCCATATTAGGGCATCAAATTTTTGTGTGCTTCAGCTAACTTGCAACATTGCTTTCTGTAAAACTGCTTGGCTGCTTTGCACCTGGGGGAGAGGGGACTTGGAAAGTGAACAGGGCATAACTTCTTTCTAAACCAAGTGTAACAGGATTCAGGTGTATTTACTGTTCCTGAAATGTATTGTCTCAGTAAAGCACCCTGCAGATTTGGGTAAAATTGCCCTTTCCTGGAGTGAATTGTCTCCCTAAAGCACCCTGCAGACTTGGGTAACTCAAAAGGAGGATGGTCAAGGGAGATTACCTAAGGCTTAATGATTCTGGCTATAACCTTGCTTGTGCTGACAATCGATATGTAAATGCTTATCTTTGAATCTATAGGCTAAGGAGTGAGGTACTTTTAAATGGATTGGTTAAGAAAGTGTATGCTGTTACACCCAAAAGGAGAGAGAGAACACAGGGGATTGCCCGGCCACAGAGGCAGGGGAGGATGGGGGGATGGGGGTGGGGGATATCATCATGGTGGTGGAAAATGGGCACTGGTGGAGGGATGGGTATCTGATCATTGTATAATCGAAACCCAAGCACAAAAAATTGTAAATTTACAACTGTACCTCATGGTGTTTCACTAAAAAAAAGAAAGTATATGCTGTTGCAAATCTATTGGCTATGAAGTGTGCGGGCCTTGCTGTAACGGCCAGTGAAGGCCTATATAAGATCCCCTTTGAAGAAGCTCGGGGCTCTCAGCCACTGCCCATTTTTGGGGTATGCTGTGGAGCCCCAGCATGCTGGTCTAAATAAACCCCGTTTTTACTCCTGCAGGAATTGTGTCTATCTGGTCTCTCCGCGCCTCCCAGGGCTAGGGAACTCCTGGTCCCAACAGTAACTTGGGAGTTGATTGACTCCGAATAATATTTACTCCTGGGCATCTGATTTCTTGACTCAGTTGCCCTTAGTTCCTAGCACCCCAAAAGCAGGGTCCCGACGAGGGACTGAATGGACCCAGGGCAAGCAGTGAGCTACCCTGGCATCGAAATGGGCCAGGCCAAAGAGCCACGATACTCAACTATAAGTTGAGGGCTTGATCATGGACAAATGCTGTCATGATCCAAAAGTAAGTAACGATGAGACTAGGACCTTGCTGGAGCTAGGAAGATTAACCTGGCCTGAGGACTGCGAAATGTATAGTGAGATGTTCTCAGGAAGAACCAAACTAAATTTATATCTCTTACTGTGCTCATACAGAATGACATTGCTAGAAATATTAGAAGTAGATTTATTACAACTATTTAAGTAGATTACTAACTGAAGGAAGAACACACCCCTGTTGGGATCCCACCCTTGGGTAGATCTCTTAGTAATCTGAAGTAATCTCTGTAGATGAGATTTTATCCTTGAGTTAATCTCCTGGAGGAGTGGTCTTGCCTCTCTTTGTTGATTCGTCAGTATTCAACCCACCTTTATGTCACCGCCTTATGTGACTGCTATATAAACTAAGACGTAAGCTCGGAAAGGGGGTGAGAAGTGAGAGAGCTCGGGCTCCAGAGATCCAGAGTCAGAGCCAGAAGGAGAGAGCTTCCAAGACTGGGGCCCAGGAGAGAAGGAGGCAGAGAAAGACAGGAGTGAAGAGGATTGGAATAAACTACTATTGATATAGACCGGCCTGGCCCCCGTTTTTTCTTCCGTCTGCCCTTGGCCAACAGCCGTTCCGATCCAGGCCACACACAGTGGCTCAAGAGCACCGAACGCAGGCGGTGAAACAGTGCTGTCCAGTGAGCCCGTGAACATACAACCTTCGGCGCGATAAGATTTTACAGCGTACCGTATGGGATGACGGGCATCAAACTACAATGAACTGCATGCAAGGCATGTGGGCCCTAAGAACCTTGTTTAAAAAAGAAAAAAGAAAGAAAACAAAACTAACCCAAGGGCTGGCACAGTAGTACAGCAGGTAAGATGTTTTTCACCTTTTTTTCTTGTTTTTTGGGTCACACCCGGTTTACTCCTGGCTCTGCACTCAGGGTTACTCCCGGTGGTGCTCAGGGGACCATATGGGATACTGGGAAATGAACCCGGGTTGGACATGTGCAAGGCAAATGCCCTACCTGCTGTGCTATTATTGCTCCAGCCCAGATATTTCTCCTTGTACTCGTTGATCCAAGGTGATCCTGGCCCTACATAGGTCTCTCAAGCAGCACCAGGAGTGATTCCTGAACACAGCTGGGTGTGGCTAAGAAACAAACCCCACCATCTTTTCCTGTGTGTTTGTTTTTGGTTTTTCGCCACTCCTGAATGCTCAGAACTTTCTTGGTTCCTGTGTTCAGGCATCACTTTTGACTGGGATTAGGGTGTAATGGGGTCTCAACCCACAAGGAGACACTCCACATGGATAGAAAAAGAACTTCCAAAAAGTTTTTATTACAGATCTCACTCAGCTGAGGGTTTGCAAGCAGGGCCCAGTCCGTGGGCTTGGACCCCCCCAAACAAAGTTCCCATTTAGTTTATATAGAATAGACCCGAGTAAACAAAGCTTTGTGCCCAGCTGCTTTGGATGTGGGTTTTGGGTACCTCTGCAGAAGCAGCAGTTTGTTATAGAAGCAGAGCATTTGTGGTTAGGCTAGGGTGTAAAATGTTATAGCTTAAGCGGCTTTTACATTATCTGACGGGGGGTCTTGGTTACAGCTGTTTTCCATCCCACGGGAACTGTATGGCACCAGGGACTGAACCCGGGTTGACCGTGTGCAAGGCAAGCACCCTGCCTGCTGTACTATCTCTGACCCCTCTCCAGTGCCCTTTTTGGTTCTGGACCCCACCCGGTGGTGCTCGGGGATCACTGTGGGGAGGCTTAGGGGACTGTATGTGGTGTTGGGGTCCAAACCAGCTCAGCTGTGTGCACGTCGAGCACCTTTCTTGCTGTGCCAGCCCTCTGGCCCCTCCTGTGCCCTTGTCAAGTGGATGCAGTGCTTTAAGGGCCTAACAATGAAGGGTAAATTAAGTGTCCATGGAGTCCAGAGAGGAAACTGTAAAAGTCCTTTGGGAGTCTTGTCTGGCAGTGCAGCGAGGGGGGTGGTGGGCAAGGGAGAAACGGAGCTTTCTACTCAGTCTTGAGAGAAGGAGGAAAGGGACCAGGGAGCCAATCTGAGACCGAGGTCGAGAGTGCTGGTTTTGTGGGAATGCACAGAGAAATTGGTTTCTACCAGCCACTGGTCATGAGCCCTGGGGTCTGAAGTTAGTGGAGATCCCCAGCTCAGTTTCCAGTAATCGTAATAAATTATTAACATTGTATGAAAGTGATGTGGTGGGATGGGTGTTGGGACACAGTGTGAGTGAAACCTAATTGTGAGTTCACAAAAAAGCCTGGGTGCATGGAACGTGTGTGATCAGTGCAGAGAGTTGCCTCCCAGGGCAGTCGACAGTGATGGATGAAGGGGGGAATGGGGACCGTAGGCTGTTTGGTACTGAGGGAACGTTTACTTCTCCTTTCTCCTCTTCTCTCTCCTTACTCTTCGATTACAGTAGTTATTTCTCCTTCCTCCCTTTTCTTCCTCCTCCTTCTCTCTTACAGCATAGTTATTTCTCCCTACCTGTATGAAGAATCTTGAAGAGTCGGGCTACACATAGGTGGGGTTGAACATTATTAGAATAACAAACAGATGTAAGGCCCCCCCTTCTTCGGGGGAAATTTTTCCCCAAGGTGCCCGGGCATGCTGCACACTGGGTCCAGGCAGAAGTGGAGCGAAGGATGACGGGCGCATGAAGAAACACCCCATGTTTGCCTTTTGTGGGTGAGGGCTCTCTTCCCTTCTGTGCCCAGTGGAATGGTTTTTAGGGTGTACACTTTGGGGCCTTTCCCTCAGGCTCCCCTGGAGGTCACTTGGACACAAGCCTGTTTTTCTTTTTTGGGGGGGGAGGGGTCACACCCGGCAATGCACAGGGGTTACTACTGGCTCATGCACTCAGTAATTACTCCTAGCAGTGCTCAGGGGACCATATAGGATGCTGGGAATCGAACCCGGGCCGACTGCATGCAAGGTAAAAACCCTACCCGCTGTGCTATTGCTCCAGCCCCACAAGCCTTTTTTTTTTCTGTAGGACAGGGCACTTACCTTGCAGGTGGCAGACCCAGGTTTGATTCCTGGCACCCCAGCTGGTGCCCTTCACTGCCAATAGTGATCCCTGAGTGCATGGCCAGGAAGAAGCCCTGAGATCCGCTGGGTGTGACCCAGAAGGCGGGGTAGGGAGGAAGGCAGACCTTTCTGCAGTAGGTCAGGATGCAGCTTCTTAGTGAGAAACTCCTCGTTCCCTTTGGGTCAGCCTCTGAACTAACTGCAGAGGGGTTTACCCGGGATCACATGCTCTCATTCTGCTATTTCTCCTCTCTTACAGCTGGGAAGTCAAGCTTTGCTATCCTCTCCAGGTTACCCTTCTCCGAAGACCGTGTCTAAAACCTGCCACCTGTGTGTAAGCCAGGACATGGAAGCAGCCCGGATCATCTTTCCCAGCATCTTCTGTGGGCGCCCCGGACACAAGGATCCGGGGCCCAGAATAGACATAACAATGCCCCAGCAGCTCAGAATAACAAAGGAAAAGATGAGGATGACATTGGTTGTGGCAGGTAGGGAAGTCAGTTTTTTAGTATCTTCAGGATCTGATCACTCTGTGTTAAATTCTTTCTCCGGTGACCTCTCCTCCGATTCCTGTCAGGCGTCAGCAGTGGCCATGCCGAAAAGGAAGAGACGGTTTACTCGGCCTCTTCGCTGTTTCTGGTATGGGGCTTCCTTTACACACCAGTTTTTGTTCATCCCTGAGAGTTACACCCCAATCCTGGGAAAGGATCTTCTCTCAAGAATTGGAGCCAGCATCAGTTTTAAGCAACAAGACCTTAATGACTACCTGCAGAGAATGCATCTCTGGGAAGATGAGCTCCCAGGACAAGAGATTCCCCGTCCTGTCTTAGGACGGGATCTTCTATCGGCAATAGGTGCCTACTTCAGTTTTGAGGGAGGCATCGACTTGGAAGGTGATACAGAAGAAATAGACCCTGAGGCCTTAGTAGATGCCCGTGTTGATCGGCGGCTCTGGGAGGATAACGTCCCGGGACGGCCCAATACAGCCACCCCTGTCAAGATCAATCTGTCCTCCTGCGCCTGCCTGTACCAGACACAGAAACCACTAGCGCCAGAAGCAAAAGCTGGACTTCAACCCCTCATAGACAGATTCTTAAAATGTGGGTTACTTAAACCCTGCAGATCTCCTTGTAACAGCTCCATTGTCCCAGTGGAAGAGGAAAATGGAAAATACCGCTTGGTCCTGAATCTGAGAGTAGTTAATCAGGCTCTGCCTCCCAAGGGCCCAGGAGAATCTAATCCACTTAACATTCTGGGTGAAATTCCCCCCGATTACTGCTGGCTTACCGTATTCAGTGTTTCCTTCTGTATTCCATTGAATGAAGCTTCACAATACCTCTTTGCTTTTGAGTGGACGGATGGAAAGGGGAGAACCCAGCAGTTGACCTGGACAGTGATGCCCCAGGGATTTCGAGACACCTCCCACTATATGGCAGAGGCCCTGTCTAGGGACCTGGGAAATTTGCGCTTGGACCAGGGAAAGGTCCTTCATTACTTCAATGATATCCTCATCTGCTCTCCTACTCGGGGGTTGGCGGCCCTGCACGCAGTCCAGGTTCTGAACTTCTTTGCCCAACAGGGTTACAAAGCCTCCAGAAGCAAAGTCCAACTTGTCACTCGGAGTGTCCAGTATATGAGACTCCTCTTGACCCCAGGAAAAGTAAGTCTCTCCCAAGAGAGGGTCAATGCCATCAGCTGCCTGCCCCGGCCTACCACCAAGAGTGAGTTGCGTGCCATTCTGGGAAAGATGAATTTTTGCAGACAGTGGATAGTGTGCTACCAGCTCAAAGCCAAACCGCTCTATGAAGCTTTATGTGGAGGGTGGAGATACCGCGATTCCTGGGGCCCACTCCAAGATAATGCCTTTGAACAACTGAAAAGGGAGATCTTGGGGGCCCCAGCCCTTGACCTCCCCAGAATGGACAAACCATTTCATTTATTCACAACTGAGGCACAGGGAGTAGCCCTGGGAGTGCTCACCCAGCCTGTAGGCCCTGTGAGACACTGTGTGGGGTATCTGTCACAGCAGTTAGATCCGGTGGCCCAGAACTGGCCAAAACGCCTAAGGCCCCTGGCGGCCACTGCAGAGTTGATAAAAATGGCATCTAAACTGAGTTTGGGGCAACCCTTGGAGGTCTTCTCTCCCCATCCGCTAACCGACCTTTTAGAGCAAGAGGCGCCTTGTTGGCTGACTGCTAAGAGGCTTAGAAAATACAATGACCTCATACTAGAAAACCCTAACATAACCCTTAGAACTTGTAATGTCCTTAGTCTGTTTTCCCTCCTTCCCCGTGGTGTTGAAGAGACCCATGGCAGCAGGAACAATTATCCATAATATACGGAGGACCCTGTCAGTTCTGTCAAGCTCCTTTTTGAATGAATGCCTTAGTGAACCCTCCTCATACTCCCTCACCCCCATCCCCACTCAGTTCCCCTCCCCGCCCAGCCCAAGTGGGTCCCTCGACCACAACACAAGCAGATCCTGTTTCTGAACTTGGGGGTTCTCAGTAGAATACCACTTAGAAGAAACATTCTTCCATATTCCCAGATCCCTTTGTAAACCATTTTACTGATGATTTAAAAAAAAAAAAGTAGAAAAAAAAATTTTCATTTCTTTGCTAACTCATAGTGGCCCAGCCCACAGAAAGACCAGATAATTTTCTGACAAAAGTCTCCTAAACTTTGGTCTTCAGGAGAAATGGGGCTAGAGCAGTGGGGTGTTTGGCATTGTAGGCAGCCAAGCCGGTTTCAAATCCCTGGCATATGGTTTCCCCAGCATCATCAGGGGCAATTCCTGAGTGCAAAACCAGGAGTCACCCCTGAGCCTGGCCTTGTGTGGCCCCCAAACAACTGAGGTACTGGTTCTGCTACCCCAATCCTGACTGCTCATTGTACACACCCGGCAGTGAAAGCTTATCCAGCTGAAATTCATCTCTCCTTCAGGCCATCACGTTCTTTTCCTGAGTGTCCTTTCCTTTCATGGTAACAGGGAAGGAGACCCCCCTCTGTGCTTCCACCTGACTCCCCTTGGACTCAGCCCTTTATAGTGTTCCTGGCCCCTCCCTCTGGGTCCCCACCCTCAGGTCAACTCAATCCCAGTCACTTGCTTGTACTGTGACTTCCCAATAAAAGTGCTTTGACTCTGCCCTGCTCTTTGTCTTGACTGAATTCTTTGCTCTGGGTAAACAACTGAGGTCCAGTGCACAACCGTCAATATCTCATTGATACCCTCTAATTAAGAGCTGTCATACTTGGGGGTCAGTGTTGCTACAGTGGGGAGGGTGTTGCCATGCGGCCAAGCTGTCCTCCATCCCCAGTACCCTGTGGGATTCCCCGAGCCTTGCGGGAGGGATCCCTGAGTGCAGAGCCTGGAGTAAACCCTGAGGACAGCCAGTCATGGCCCAAGTACAAAAAAGACAAAGAACTATTTTACTTAGACCCTGTCATGAAAAGGTGGGAGGTGGAAGGGAAATGGTTTCTGCTGACAAAACTTGCTGTCCCTTTCTCCTGAAAGGACCAAGCATCAAGCTTTTTTTTTTGTTAGTTTCAGGTTTGTGGGTGGGTGGGGCACACCCACTGCTGCTCCGGGCTTACTCCTGGCACTGCTCAGGTGACCAAATGGGATGCGAAGGATCAAGCACAGATTTGCAGTGTGCAAAGTAATAGTCCTATCCTCTGCTATCCCCAGTTTCCTGGATTCAGTTTTGTTCCTTTCTCAGGTATCTTACCTCCCGGCTTCTAGCCCAGCCCTTCATTGTCCAAGACTTTGGCTGTGAAAGTCCCTGTCAGGTTGCCCACAGGACAATGAAAGGAATTAACCCCTACAGAAGGGCATGGTGACTACTTTAAACTGAGACTGTGGGGGCTGGAGCAATTGCACAGCAGGTAGGGCGTTTGCCTTGTATGCGACCAACCCGGGTTCGATTCCCAGCA